CTCAGGCTGATGCTCCTATTGGTACCTCTCATCCTGGTCCTCCTGCTACGCTTGCACCTAATCTTAAGTTCATCCCTCTTCTGTGGGATGAATGGTGTAATGGGATTGGGGGAAGGAAGCCAGCAAGGGATTTCACTACTGCTGAGAGAGGCAGATGCAGGGACAAATACAGCAAGCGATTGATTATTTGGAAGTGTATGAAGAGGCTYACTGAGAGAGGRTACACAGTGACTTCTGCAGTTAGAAGRATCCATGAGGTRTATGGATATCTACCTGTYAGTAAGCTGATTGAAAAGATGAGGAAGGATGAAAGGAATGGGGGACATGCGAGACTGAGGAGCTAGTACAAGCGATCGATTCCGAGCAATCGATTCATTGCATTGATTCGTTGCTGCTGGATTCGTTGCTGCAATTCATATGGAAGCAATCGATCCGTATGGAAGCAATCGATTTGTTGCTACTAGTACTGATTTGGAGCAAGCAACAAGCAAGCATCGATTCGGAGCAATCAATTTGGAGCAATCGATTCGTTGCTGCAATTCGTATGGTGCGAGCAAGCAGCAAGCAATCGATTCAGAGCAATCGATTCGTTGCAACAAGAAGGAACAAGAAGCAATCGATTCGTTGCTGCGATTCGTTGCTGCAATTCATTGCATCGATTCATTGCATCGATTCATTGCATCGATTCATTGCATTGATTCATTGCATTGATTCGTTGCTGCGATTCGTAGTATGGAAGCAGGAAGCAATCGATTCGTTGCTGTGTTCGTTGCTGTGTTATTCGTGTTGTTATTCCGTGTTATTCGTGGCGGTGTTACGTGTGGTGCTATCCTGCATAAAAGAGCAATGTTAGATAGCTGTTAAGAAATAGTAGTAAGCAGTATTCCTATTAACACAGTTAGCAAYACCCCCWGTACCAGTAGTATTGGGCCTGAGGTGCTTGTAGGAATCAGTAGTAAGGAGTTCGTGTGGAGGTGTTTATTTCCAGTAGTAAGCAGTACTCTTAGTACTGTCGACTTCCAGGTTTTTTGTTGTACCTTCATTTTCCAGTAGTTAGCACTCTTACGAGTACTCCGAAGTACTTGTAAAWTAAGCAGTACTCGTGTACTTCAAAATTTCACTAAGTTTTTTGGTAGTTTCCCCTCCAGTAGTAAGCCTCTCTCTTATAAATACTTGTGTTTCAGCGAGTTGGCGATAATTTGTGTGTGTGTAGGATTCTACGGACTTTGTACTGTGTATATATTATTGTATATTTTGTTACATGTACCCACACGGTACGCAGCGTCATGTTGTTGTGGAGAGAATGTGTATGGACAACGGGGTTCCAGTCTTGTAGAGCGGGATATTATTATTTTGTTTTTTAAAAATAATAAAACTCCGTCTCACCTCGGAACTATTGGCACATACTGACTCAATTGTACAGGAGAACTCCTAATGTCAAGCGCACTAAAGTCAATTTATTGGCAATCCCCGTACAGATACAAATGCTCATTTTTACAGTTAAAACCAGTTAAAAAAGGCATCCAAGGGACGAAAATAAAAATATTTCCAGTTTAATTTCTCGCTGGTATTTCTATTAGTGGTCCTTACTACTGGGGATATAAAATCAGTGCTTACTACTTGAGAATCAATATTAGTGCTTACTACTGGATCACCTCCATTACTACTTACTAGTTGGGATGCCATAGTAGTGAACACTGCGAACTGCTGGGTAAGGGGGTTCT